TTTTTTTTTTCTTCTTTTCTCTGATTTTGTTTTCGTTGCCATCACTATTCTCTCCTTGTTGAATGAAAAAAGAAGTGAGGAAAAACACAATGTTCGTTGAAAGCATTCTTTTCATTCTTTGAGCAATTGTTTCAGAGTGTTATGGAATCTACGTTGTTTGGCCTGGAGACACCAACGACGATGAGAGAACGGCAGAGCGAACGAAAAAAGAAGAAGAAATAAATTGAGTCATCGCCATTCACGGTCGTCAAGTCATTCCCATTCATAATGCACATTAAGCAAAAACTTTAATTAAATTCGCTTCGTATGTGTTTTACGAACGGCCAACGACAACGACATGATCTTCAACCATTTGTAATTAAATAACTCCATATTTAGGCCATTGTATGTAAAACACGCAAAGCAAAACTATCATTTTTCTGAAATACGATACATCTCTCTCGTAGTTAACTGTAAAAATGCTCTGTGTGTGCCTTTTTCTCTCTCTCTCTCTACTTCTCTATCCCTCTCTGGATTCGAATTGAAATTCCGGATGATGCTTCGGGGCTCTTGTTTATGTTGTTTTGTCGATGACTCGCCGAAAATGAGCGCAATGCCAACTATTCAACTAGTATAGTCTATATCCGGTTGTTTTGCGTACAAATCCACATAATATTAGACAGAAATTTTCCGTTTCAAGATTCCATTCGGTTCGGAATTCCGAAGGCTTCAGCTGAATTCGTAGTACAACGAACGAAGATTATGTCGGTTCTTTGACGAGAAAAATTGCGCATACGAAAAAGAAAATGATATGATAATCTCATATAAACACACACACACACACACACACACATAAAATTCGCATAAAAATTTGTTCGGCTTCACTCATCTCGTTTTTTACTGTCAATTTGTTGGCGAACAAGCAGACGCGCGCGCACACACAAATCATGACCGACTCTCTGCGATTCACTCTTATCGACCGATTACGCGCTGATTACGTCAATATAAAAATAATAAATATCATTTTTTTGGCCTCTATTCACCATGATTCCATTATTCAATTTTATGTTATGTTTCTTTTTTGCGTGCGCGCACGCACGTGTGTGTGTTCCAATAGTGCGTGTTTCTGTTTTCATTTTTCAGGCTGACACTGTATTTACTCCCTTCGCGGACCGCGCGTTTTTCGATGATATCACCCATGTGTGCTAGCGTAGTGTGTGTGCGCTTTGAGTTCGAGGAAGCGAGGACCTGAATGCCAAATGCGTAGCTATCGTATGTTCTCGATGGTGTCAAAACGACACTGAATTCCTGCTGTTGTTGTATGCCCGTCGTGTGGTGCTTATACTTTTTTTGGCGCTACTCGCGTACGAACATTTCTATTCAAATTCGATTTGGCAGATCAACTCACGCTGCTCTCCCTCTCGCTCTCGCTCTCTGCGTCTATTCATATTTCAACTCGTTTCAACTGTGTTGAAAATCAAATGAAACTGTTATATTTATCTCGTATTTATTTAATTTTTTTTCTCTTGCTGCTCAACGGAACAAAATAGACAAGAGAAGAAAAAAGGAACGAATACTGCCGATGTATCATCGCATTTTGTACACAAGCCTAACTTTTTTCTACTTGTGAATTCCCCATTTTTTCCTCAACGCAGTCGTAGTCGTTATCGTTGCTTTCCTGTATGTGTATTCCTTTACATGGGATTTGGTGGAAGGTTTTCTCTCTCCTTTTGAGCACAAATATATTCTTTATTTATTCATTGAATGAACAAGATGAGCATTAGCAATGATAAACTTTGGAAAATCAAGTTAAATAAAAACGGACATTCTTTTTATTGTTGTTGTTATGTCGGCGGGGCGATGACGATCATCTTTTCACTTGTTCTTCCCTTTTTGTTCTATTTCGCATTTTGAGACGTGTGCTGCTTCTCGCTCTCTCTCTCTCTCTCTCGCAATATCAAGCGCGACAATATGTCTGTCGTCTGCTAAGTAAATTTACTTTCGCTGTCTCGCGTATCAAAGTGATGTCACTTCATCATTTGAATTTAAACAACATTAAAAACAATTTTCGAACACGTGGAATGTGTGCTGAACGCGCTCGCCTTCGATTTAATAAACATAGACGAAAAACCACTCAAGATGTCATTAAATCGAAACTTCTTCTCCTCTTTTTTTTCTCGCGGTGGATCATGGCGAGACAGAAACAGAGAGAGAGAGAGAGAGAGAGAGAGAGAGAGAGAGAGAGAGAGAGAGAGAGAGAGAGAGAGAGAGAGAGAGAGAGCGTGTGGCTGAGAACCCTCTTGCCAATGGCAAAAAGCATGCTAACCAAATTTCATGTTTAAGTACACAACCGCTATGGCTATGGCAACAAATGGATGATGTTGCAGAAAAAAAACAGAAGCATTTATTTTACGATTGAAGATCGTATATCGGGCTAATCAGTTTGGTTCTCCGACATCTACTTGTTGGTGTTGAAGATATTTATGAAGAATCTTTTTTTTCACGTAACGTCGACTACGCTGGTTGTTGTGTACAATTCACAAGCCCAAAATGGAATAGATTAAAATCGGTTGTGAAAACGGTTTTGACATGTGCAGTAGCATTCATTTGGCAGAGTGCTCTTCACTTGTCTCATTATTAATAGAAAATATTGCAATTTTTTAATGGTTTATTTAGGAACCGCGTGAGATGTTTTTTTAAGCGGCTATTACTTTTCATTCATCAAAATGTACCATTTGGCTGATGTTACCGTGGAAGGGTTGAAAGCTCAATTCAGAGTTGAGATTTTGACAAGTGGAGCGCATCTCATCTCCATTCATTAGTAATACACAGGTACAACACGTTGGTTTATAGTACTCCCAAAAGGCACGCACAGTATATAAGAGCCAATGCAAAAGTCAATTGATGCACATAAGTAGCGCCACCTCTAATGATTACGGAGAGTTACCATAAGTCGTATGCAATTGATGTTGAGAAAAAGAAGAAAAAGTAGACATTCTATTCATTTACATGGCAATAATGGTAATCAGTAGAGATGGTGCTCATGTGCCGATCATATCACAGTTACAACCCTTCGAGTACTCCAAGGAAGTAGAAACATTTCGGGCCGAGTAATAATAGGCGCATTTTCGATAACTTCATTCACTCACTCACTCTCTATTTATCCATACACTGTTTTAATTGTACGATAGCTGCAACATAGGATATGAGGTATGATACGTTTCTTTTTCCTCTATTATTGTGAGATTCATTTTGTTCGAATTGAACCACTGCTTTTTGGCCATCAACCCGCAAATTAAATCGAAAATCAGTAATTAGTTGGATCCATATCCGTATCGTCAGACATTAATCTATCAAGCTCTCTTGTGCTCAAACGAGGTAGCGAGAGAAAATTAAATGTAATTTTAACCGAACGATCGAATGCGAATGGGCCGACCGCATATAGAAGCGAAAATGCCAAGTGGTTCTGTGGTTGGCAGCCACTACCAATGACGACGATGACGACGAAAGCATCAATGCAACAAAAGGTCAATTATGTTTTCCAAGGGGGAAATCACTCAAAAGTAATACCAAATAGAAAAGTAATACCTCAGTAATTTCTAGTAATACCTCTGGTACTACTTTTGATATTTCTATGAAAAAAGTAATACCGAAAAAAAGTAATATCCAAGTAATACCAAGTAATACTGATCAATAGAAGTAATACACCTGGTATTACTTTTGATTTGTACGGAAAGTAATACCAAGTAATACCATTTATGTAAAAGTAATACCTAAGAGTGATTTGCCCCTCGATGTTTTCAGCAAATCAACATTCACACACACGCACGCAACGTGACCCCAACCGATGATTTCCAATGATGAACCGCAAGATGTGCGCTGTACTGATAACAAGTAAATGCTTTTAATCAACCGAACTCAAGTCAGTGCTTACCACTTACCGACTCAACACCAAATCAAGCCAACACAATCGCCAGCAAATTGATATAATATCGGTGTTACGATTGATACCATAATTGGCTGCATTCAGGAATCGAGTCGACACAAGAATTTGCGGTGTTTACTATGTGTGTTTGGTTCTTTTCATTTATTCTTCAAACACGACAACTAACGTGTTCTTTCATTGGAAAATGGCCTCAAATTGAAAAAAAGGACAACCATGAAAGGAGGACGATTTCGAAGGATATGAAATGATAAAAGATGCCATTGATAGCAATACTTTGGCTCTCAAAATTGGTTGCGATGGAAAGTGAAACAAGAGGAGATACGAACGCTAAAAGCAAAAGCTAGAGAAAACGAACGAGATGAAAGTCAAGCGAGCCCATGATTGACGTGGATCGTTACAGTGGCTTATCGTCGCTTTGATGATTTCCTATAGATTTAGCCGAAGTTTCTGGTTTTGCACGCCCCCACCCCGATCCATTCACTCCGCTAACAAGTATTAATCACCATTTTCAAGCACCGTCTGCAACTGGATCATCATATTTAGTTTCGAATTTAATCCCGCTTTTCGTATTCGACCGGCTTGATTTGCCAATCAACACAAGAGCCAGCGAGAAATAAGGCAACTGAAAACATCTGATCAACGGAGCTTTAATCAACGGAAAGTTACTGTCGATTTTTTGGTTCAATGCGGAAAAAAAATGCAAGTTTGCCCTGGCTAAAAGCAGATATTCTGAAACGCACACTTTTTTCCCCCTCGTTTAATAGCAATAACAACAGAAAAAAACTTCACAATTTCAATTTTCAATTGAATCGACGGCCACGTGAACCATACGCTCGGTTTCTTGATGCGCAAATTCGATTCGATATTTATGCCAATTAATAAATAGATTGGTTTTAATAAATGAATGACGTGGCAAGGCGCATATTCGCTCGCTCGCGCCCAATAAGCGCACACAAAAAGGCGTGCGAGGCGGTCGTGCAAAAGTTTGTTTCAGAAAATAAAAAAAATAATAAAAGTACCCAATAAACATGGGAAAATGTGGTAGTAGAGTAGCATGCAGAGAACGTTTACTTACGCTTATCTCCCGGAGTCAATTATCCAGCTGATGACAGAAGTGTGAGTTCAATGAATAGCACATGTAAATTGGACGAGCACAGAGCACACGGTGTTTACGTGTCTCTCTCTTTCTCTCTCTCGAGCTTTGCTGTCTCTGATGATGGTGAATACTGCCGCCGTCGCCGCCGCTACTGTTTTTCTCGCGCACTGATACTCTCGTTTCGATTATAATTTCCCCCCCGATTGGTTTTTATGGATAAAAAGAAGCACTTGACTTGGATTCAAGTAAACTTTACCAATTAAAACACCACAAAAAAACAAACTTTCGCGTTTTACATATTTACGCGGCCGTGCGCTACATGAAAACAACAACACACAAAAAAATCCGCTAGTTTTTCGTTCGTTCGTTTATATTTTTTTCTTCTGAGTTTTGCTCTTTTTTTTTCTCTTGAAATTCTGTGTTAATTCTCACGCGGTTTTTAAATAAAACCGCTTGTCCAGTCCTTCAGTTCGAAATTAATTCAATCAATCTCATTCGCGCGTCTGGTGAATTCTTTTTTTCGCGCTCTGTTGTTTTCTTTATCGTCGTTGTTCTCTCGTATGATGATGATGAACGGTTCTGTAATTAAAAATCAGGAGGGAAATCATTATAAATGCAAATTTTCAACAAAAAAAAATGGTTTTTTCATTAGTTTGGAGAGCATCAAAACGAACGAAAAGGCTACACAAACAACCGGCCAATAGCAAATTCCACTTGCCGAACAAATATTGATAGTGACATAACGAAACACAAATAATAAACAAACAAAAAAAACTTGTTACACACACGAAGAAAAGAGAAAATGTCGTGTCAAAAGAGAGAGAAGAAAAGAAATGCACAAAAAGGCTGGAGAAAAAGAGTCTTAAATCATATGCAAGCGATAAAATGATTTAATTTGTTTGAAAAGAAGAGGAAGAACAAGAAAAATTGGACTGCTGGCGATTATTTTCTTCGAAGCATTGTTTCTCGCTTTATGAATCTGTCGCTCACGCTGCGTTTTGTACGGTTTTTCTTCTGTTTTGATCTTGTTGGTAAATTTGGTTGTTATTGTTGTTGCTGGTTACTTCATACGCTCGATGCTTTAAAACAATTTAGAAAGAATCTCTCTCTCTCTCTCTCTCTCTCTCTCTCTCTCTCGGTCACACTCTGTCTCTTTGTGTCATCTTAAAGCCATGCTGCTGCTGCTGTCATCGTTTTCTGAACGCTCTCATCTGTGCAGACAACAGTGGCTACAATATGTTCCAGTGTGTCTATCATATGTGCGCCGCATTCACACTTATACATGTGTTTATTGCGTACGATTTTGCTCGCCTTTTTATATTGTTGTCCATACCATATTTTTTCTCCTCTCTTTTTCATTTACTTTTATCTCTTTGCATTCGGTGTGCTTGCTCTTCATTTATTATGTTTTTTTTTGCTCTCCTCTGTTGTGCTGTGTTGATTTTTATGTCGTCGATCGACTTTACAACACAATAAATTTGGGTCAAACCTGGCTCAAACCAGACTGAACGAGCAGCGCGCAACACACAAACTGAACCGATGATTCCGGTAAAGAAAGCATTGCTCAACGATCATTGCATGCAAATAAATGCTGTGCTTCGATTTTTTTCTTTTTCGTGTTGTCGTTCGTTCGTTCATTCGTTCGTTCGGTTTGTGACAAAAGAAACTTTTTTTTTGTTGTGTCGGACTTTGTGTGAGCGTGAGAGACAGAAACGATATTTCTTAGGTACAAAACGAAACAGCATACTACTCAGAAGAAGAACGATAATCGCTTTAAGATTGTCAGTGCCATGGGAAAGGAAAAACTGTCACTAAAAACCGAAAATAAAGATGCACAAAAAGCGACCTGTGTGTTTGGTTGCCGTTGTTCTTTCGTTGAAACTGGAGGAAAAGACACAAACGACAACGAGTTAAGAGAAGAAGAATGAAAATAGAGGAAGAAAATACTCCAAGAAGTCATCAATAACATGGTAAAATTACTCGAGGAAAAAAAAAATGAGCCATTTCAAAGTGAAGATTTAAAAGCCGACGCCGATCGCATCATGAAAGAGTGAAGAAACAACAACAAAACTTCAATCATCCGAAAATTCATTTCGATTTTTTGTTTTTGGTTTTTTTTCAATACTCTCTGGTGTTGTTGTTTGTTTGTGTGTCAGCGGGCATTGTGCATGCCTATTTATGTTGGTGTTTATGAGTGGAAAACACCATGAGAGGAGAGAGAGAGAGAGAAAGAGACCGACAGCGACGACCACAAAAGGTATACGGAAGACGGGTTCCGAAATCGGTCAGAGGTAAATTTACGCATTATGGGACTTTCTCAAAAATGAAATATTTTTCCAAGAAGCCAACTCAATTTGAATAAAATCGATGACAATTTATTTATTTCGTGTTGTTTGATCTATTTTGTCATTGAATGAAAGTGTGTTTGTCTGAGCCAGCTAGCGAACGAGAGAGTGATAAGCGATATAATTAAAGCCGATTCCATCGATTTGATTGCAATTAAATTGAAACGAAGAAATGGAATAAAAAAAGAAACGAAAGAACTCAAAGAAGCTGTTGATCGTCGCAACCTAATGATTTACATTTTGTGCTAATTTATCATCGTCGAGTCGATGGCGATGCGGAAAAGCATAATAAATAAAACGACTTTCATTCGATTTCAATTTAAAATGCACGATAAGAACGAAATTATACTCTCGTTCGCCATCAGCCGAACAGTATTAATTTAAACAACACCATGTAAAGTCTTGCACAGCAGCAGCATCAACCGCAAGAGCAACACTATAGACTCGATTGCGGATGGTTCAGAAGCATTCTAATTAAGCGATCAGACAAACCAATGGGAAATCAAAAGAAAGGAGATAAACGCACGATGAGACGATTTTTACTTTCTTTTCGGCTTTAGCTGTTGCAATTGCACCATTAAAATGATTTATTTTGGCTCATTTTCTCTCTTATCATTTGGAATTGATCGCACCCAGGTGAGGATCGATTTCGAAACGGATTTTTTTTTTCTTTCAATGCATTTGACTTTGGATACAAGTCGACATTTGTTGTGATGACTCAGAAGCACACATACACTGCGAGAGTCAGTCACAAGTATACACGGAAGAAAAGAGATCCTTTTACTTCTTGACGCTGGCATATAACAAATGTTAACGTGTGTAGCATGGTGCTTTTCATTGTATGCGCGCATCAAACAGAGAACGTGGCAAGAAAAGCGGAGAAAATGTTCAGTTCAGCGGTCGGTGAGCGCATTGCATGCGTATCTGGGTATACACGTTCAATGTTTTTGTTTTGATTCAATACATACACACAGATACCGCCAAAAATGGATAACTCGGCAAAAAGGACACAGTCAGTGTTGCGCGCTGTGTATACGGATATATGGTTTCCCTGGCAGCAGCAGCAGTAGCAACACAACCGATCGCCAAAATACCAACGCATTGCCAAACAACACCAAAATGAAAACATAAACAAACGGCATCGGGCACAACAACACACGCGAGAAAGAGACGGTGGAGGCGATTGACAGAGCTAAAAAGATGCAACACAAACAAACTTGCGTTGTTGCGGGAGCGTCTTTTTTTGCGGGCAAAAGAGTTGACACCAACATACAAACACACACACGCACACACACGCACATTCGGTTACATTCAAACAATGATGACACATCGCCGCCGCGAAAGTGCATCGGACCGAAAGTCAGTTTTTCCTATCCGGATTCACTGATACTTTTCACGTACGCACACGCACTTCCCTATCGACGTATATTCTTGACTCATTATGTTGCGTTTTGGTTTCTTTTACACACTTTTTTCTCGTTGTTTCTTTCTCTCTGAAATGGCGCGCACTAAAATACTCTATATACTTGTCTTACTCTCAATGCAAATCGCGCAATAACAACAACAAAAATAAATCAGCACACAAAACATGTCTTCTCATATTGCAAAAAAAAAAAAAATGACTTATGATTTTTTTTTTCGCTAGTTTTCTTGTCTAATCAAATTCCCGTACAGAAAGGGTGACAAGGCTCGGCTCTATGTAATGTGGTGCATGCGGTTTAGTTTCGTATTATATTTTCTAGTGTTGTGAGTAGAGATTTCCGCACAGGAAATCACATTTGGCGATAACACACTAGTCAGCCAACCAAAGAGATGAATATGTGAGCAAGAGACCTACTGAGTTACTCTGTTTATGATGTAATTTGATCTGTAAATTTATGAATTGCCGTATTTTTATTCGGTTTCGTCTTCTTTTCGCCTTATTCTCTCTCTCTCTCTCTCTCTCTCTCGCTCTCGCTGTGTTATCGTATATCGGAACTGGAGAGAAATCGCACACTTTTCAATTCCGTATTCCGTGCGAAGCCAAAAATAACAACAACAACAACAAAATATTCGCTACTTTCGCATTTAATCAATATTTGAGATTTGGGCTTGCATTGAGCGCTTCTTCTCTCTCTTTCTTTTGATTTCTCTGTTCATCACCAAAACACACTTTGAACCGTTATCGAATTTCTTTTTATGGTTATTCTTCTTTTTTTTTCAAATCCACGAAATTGTCGAATTTTTGGTTATTTTTATTTGTTGCTATTATGGAAAATGGATGGCGGGTTTTTTTCCTCTTTTTTTCCAAGGGCTTTGGCAACAATCACAAACATTGACAACAACACTCAACATTCTATTTTTACCGACTTAACAATTAACAACAAATAAAAACGAAATCATATCAATATCAAAGCAGAATAAAAAAAATAAATCAAAATAACAACGTACACAATAAAATTGAAAACTGAACTGGAATTTCAAACAAAACAAAACGACTGATTTTTTTTTTTGCTCTTCATACACAAAATATTGAATCGGTTTTTTTTCGGTTTCGGTCAATAAGAAAGGAATAAAAAACGATTTCAACGGAGAAAAAAAATATATTAAAATTATATCAAAGGAATAATATGACAAACAGCAAATTTTGTGCTTGCATTCGCTCCGTCAATTGACTTCGACTGCTCAGAAACAATACTGGCTTCATACTACCCAATGTACGATTATCAACGACAAAATCTGTCTATATACATATGTATGCTTGGCTTTTTAAACACACTAGAAAAATATAACGGTGTGTAATATACCTAAAAATCAGCATATGAGTGTATACCGCACACTTGCTCTCTGTCAATGTATTCGTCGGGTGTTCGAATGGCGGCTACGGCTCTACGGCACACACTTGGTGTGTGCTCTCGCACTCTTTCTGTATGCGGCGACACTCTTGTTCGCTCCCACTCTCTCTCTCTCTCTCTCTCTCTCTGTCTCTCTTTCGCTCACGTTTGGGGTCCGCCGCACCACTGTGCATGAGTATTCGGTGTGTGTTTGTTCGATGTGTATCGGCATGAACCGGATAGCACTTATTCTGTGGTTGTATGTACTACGACGGTTCACCTTCATTTATTATTATATTGCAGCCGAAACAGACAAGAAGAATCTTTAGCAACAACCTTAGCAACGACAATGCACATTGGACAAACGCATTCGAATCCTTCTATTTTTTGCGTTTTTTTTTTTTCAATGGAGACAGAGTAGAATGAATATTTAAATGCAACTAAAGCGAAAGCACTGTTTGTTGTTTTTATATTTCAATCCAATTCAACTTAGAAATGAGTTTACTCTGCCTACGGAAATAATTTCAGAGATCAAAAGATGAAATTGGTATGTTCAACATATTCAAGCTCAGAATTTAAAAAAAAAATACATAAAATGAGCTCATAATGACTACTGTTTTGAATGCTTTTGCTCAAAACTACAATTTTATTTGGTAAATTTCCGTTTAATTCCTTATCATTTAGCTTGGCTAAACGATCATTCTTAGAACTCGATCATGAAAACCAGTACAAAGTTTAATGACTTTGCAAAATAAAAAAAATAAAACCCTTGAAACTCCTTCTGTTTCGAGAATAATCCTGTAAAATCTCATGCTTTTGCATTTTTATTTTCTAATTTGTTTCAAAGTCACATTCAAATTGAGTGCTGTTGACTAATCCAATGGCTTAATTCGTGTGAAACAATAACAAGAAGAGATAAAAAGCAAATAAATCAGTTTTTATTAGCTGTTGCTTTTATTGCTTCTCATTAGCAAAATGTTTTTAATCTGTTTCACAGTCGACATTTTGGCGCCTAATCCGCAATGTTCACGATCGCCCGGTAATTTGCTCAAAATTCCGAACGCTAAAGATTCTTCGTTCGGTTCACAGTGTTTTGCTATCAAGCAAGAGTACGAACGGCGAGTGATCGAATGATTAAGCAGAGCGTTTGGTTCTTTCATGGTGTTGGTGTTTTGTTTTGGTTCACAAATGCTACATATTCGACCTGTCTCTTGCCTGTATATGGTTTGTTGTATGGTCGCTTTTTTTTCTTCTTCTGTTGTTGTCCTCTCTTATTGTTGCTCTCTATCACATGTGTGTATGTGTATGTGCAAGTATGGTCCCACATTTGGTTGTCCGTGCGGTCACACATATGTATATGTTTTGTTTAGAAGCGATAGCAGAAGCCGAGAACGGCACAAGAAATACGAAACAAAAGAAGACCACCGATAACCGAATCGATAGAGTCCTTTCCCACTGATATCATTTTCTACGTTTCGCAGCCGACAAGATCACTTGATACTAGTTTTTTTTTGCTGGATCATACACGCATCATCATTGTATCATATGCGATCAAATCAAGCTAGATCCTTTGCTTTTTTAGTGTCAATTCATTATTTAGAACAACAAAACACAAAAAAGAACAAAATGAAAAGTTAAAAGTCATCTGAGATGATGCGAGAACGGGAATGAAGCGAACAAAGTGTGTTCTAGTCTGTTTGGTGCAGAAATGTAGGTAACATTTGAGGTATATGTGCTAAGATGAAATAACCCAATTGACAGCTAAACGATCTAGAATGTTATATTGGTTGGCTATCAAAAAGACATTTGTCTGCTCAATATTTATTTACAATTTCATGTGATTTCCGTTCACATATAATTTATTGCCGTTGATTTTTTGGAGCTGAACAGCTCTGCATTTGTGACTTTTTTCTATCATGTTCTGGAAATTGTACAAGGCGCAGGTAGAAAATAATTCAATATATATTTTTTTCTTATTATTGACAAAACTAAAATGGGGAACATAGCAAACAGACGACCCATATCTCGTTTTTTCTTCTTCTAATATTTTATAACCATTTGACATTTCCGATGTCATATATCATTCAACAGACCTGATGGTTATTTATTGAAAATCCAATTTTTCCATATCAGACGCTAGGCCAGACACTTTGATGAATTGGTCAAGTATTTACTGTCTGTGATGAGGTGAAATTAATCGAATTTCGAACATAGCTTTAGTATATATCCGCAAGTTGAACTAATACACAGAACATGCAATCGCTTCAATCAAATGAATTGAGAGCAAATTCTCGAGCGATTTTGTTCGAGACATTCGAGGAGAAATATTGATTCATTTTCTAATAGAATTCAATGCGTTTGCATAGACATAGGGTAGCTTAAGACTGGAGATGGATGTGAGACAATAGGAGAGTGAAAATTCCAATGAATATAAGAGCAAGTCCACAAGAAGATAGGATGGATAAGTACGAGAGGGATTTGGAGACGACGCAAGAGAGAAGCGAGTTTGAATGCAGAGAGGAAGAGTGAGACAGAGACAGAGAGCGAGAAAGAGAAGGAAGCAACGAGTGTATCGAATTCGAAGAATAGAATCATTGCGATGAAATTGGTGAGATGATATGCAAATGACTCTCGCTCGGTTCCGTCTCAAGATCATATTGCATATCCATACGACAATTATGTGGATAAAATAAATATTGGCTGTTGTTTTCGGTTGAGCTCAATTGTTGGGGCGGTCGGGTGCATTGTTCCCAGTTAAATTGAATAATAGCATTGTTACACAGTTCGGAAAGCAATTCTCGGTATTCATTGCTCTCTCTCTCTCTCTCTCTCTCTCTCTCTCTCTCTCTCTCCCTGTCTATATCCCACCCTCCCTCCGGCTGGTCTGATGTTCATAATGAACTCAACATGAATAGACTCAATATGAAGCTCAATCACACAAATTGCATTGATGGCTAATAGTTGGAATTATAGTCGTACAGATGTACATAATTTGCACTTCAAAGGGGCAATTTGCATTTATGCATCGAATTTCAGCAGATACAACTGAATATTCCGTCCATCTAATCACATTCACACACACACACATGCATACACACACTATGAATATCGAGTGAATCAACCTCCGAAACGAAATAAAATGTTGTGAAATCAAAAATACTCAAGACATTTTGTTGTTGTTGTTGGTCTCTCCCATTTGTCCAATCGAATAAAATCGAGAGATGTTGACCCGTGGAACTTGTTCAACTTGTCATTCACTTTCGCCGGATTAGTGAGCCATATGTTTGCCCGAAGTCAGTCAATGTGTCTCTCTTTCTAATCGCCATGTTGGTGTATGAGTGTATTGTGTGCTGTTTTTCTTCTTCTTTCTTTTACTTCTTCAATTTTATTTTGGTTCGTCCAATGAATATTCAAACGCATATCGAAATTCGGTCACTTTCTAATTGCGTCGTCTGCTTTTAGCATGCATTTTACCGGTTTTAACTCAATTTGACACCTTACCGAACGTGACAATCGCATACATGTTGTACAAACACACATACTGCTGGAGACGTATAGCAATACTAATTCCAACTTGATACGAGAACGAGTTGAAAAGAAGAAGAAGAAGATGATGAAGTGACGATCCGATTATCTGTTGATTGCAAATACAAATAAATCGTCAATTTCCTTTTCAATTTGCACGGCCAAGGAAAGAAAAACACTTCCCGATTTTGTTCAATGACCGTGTTAATTGTGATTTGATTCATCGCCATTCAACCGGTCATCCAATGTGTGCGCGCGCGCTCTCGATCCTCTTCTCCCGTTCTGGTACACACTCTTTCTCTTTCCCTTACACTCTCACTCGTCCAATGGCTCTCTTTCTCTCACTTAGCTTGCAACACTCGTAATCACGTTCAGTGTTCCGTTTCGATTTACTTACCGATAAAAAAAGAAGAAAGACCTGGCGCATACAATGTACAAAACGAAGAAAAACAATCGAAGAGATAGAGAAAAATCCAGACACAGACGCCAAGATAAACACACTTAGAACAAACATTGATCCAGCAAGAGAGATAGAGAGTGCAATGGAATGATAGAACGAGCGAGCGAGCGAGCGAGTAAGTGAGTGAGAGAGAAAAGGAGTGTTAGCGCACAAAATGCGACCAAGAGAAAAAAGAGGAGAATTTCTATTTATAGTTTGCGTTTTTATTGCGCTTGAACCTCATTTACCACTTCAGAATTGAGAAGAGGTAAAAACAAAAAAGAAATACGAATAGAATCGATTGAAGAGAGAGAAAGAGCAAAAGAAAAACAATAACAATAACAACATGAAGAAACAAACGAACGGGTACACTAAAACATCGATAAAAGTGATTGCAAACGTAAACGTGATGCACATCATTCCGACGTGCATAAGGTGCTGCACAGAGCAGCACACATCCGGCCAAATAAAGCATGTTCTAAAATCAAATCGAATGAAGACATTCGAAGCAAAACAAAACCAAGAAAAAAGTGAAACACATGCAGCAGCAGCAGCAGTCAAACCAAACACTTCTCTCTTTCTCTCTGATTCTCTTGGTTTCTTATTCTAACCAAGAGGCCAAATGGATACTAGTCTAAGTATCCAAGTTAGAAGGCTTTTTCACCCAGGGGCTGTACACAGGGGCATTGCAATGCACAATATTTCATTCGAAATTGCCACGTCAACTGCCCTGATAATGGTCAATGTAGAAAGAAAAACCGCACGCACACCCCAAAAAAACACACCATTCCCAAGCATCATATTGGTTCAAGCGCTCACTTTTTCCTTGCGTGTATGTTGTTGTTTGGACGGGTTTTTTTTTTGTCTGCGTATCAAAATGATTTTCCCATTTGTCCGACAAAAATAAACAAGCAATTCATAAA